ATTATAATTTTTTGAAAGAAAGCGGTTAAAACTTCGATTAATTTTTTTTTTTATTTTTCTTTACCAAAAAGTGATTATTTCGTGGAAATTTTTGAATCAATCTCGCTATATTTTTTATTATGTAAAAATATGTTTTTTGCTTACATCTTTTTTATATCAAATCTAGATTTTTTATTTAGCGATGCGATATATTTTTTGTTCGATATAATATAAAAAAAAATATGTAATAGTCTATATAGAAAATGTCTAAATTGTGTTGTGATAAATTTTCCCTAATAGTCTAGATAATTCATTCTAGAAAATTTAGTTTGATGACATTTAATATTTATCATCATAATCATATTTATTATTTTTAGTATTTATTTATCATTATTTAATATTTTTGATAAACATGTATTTTTCTGTCACAATAAGCTTGATATATATTGTAGGAAGGTACAAATGTGGTAAAAGTGACTGGACAGATTTCTGGTTTGCAAAAAGGTCTGCATGGTTTTCATGTTCATGAATTTGGTGACAACACTAATGGTATGTTTATGATTTGAATTTCAATTTAATGAAAATATTTAGATTCACATTATTTATACCATGATTCATACATTATCTAAAATTAACTGTAATTTGTAAATTTTTTAATTTTGAGTTTTTCTTTAAAGATTTGTTATCATTGTCAAAACTATAATTTTGTAATTTTTAAAAATCTAGATCTATTTTTTTGTACAAATTGAAATTAATTGAAAAAGAAATCGATATAAGATATATATAAATTGATATAAGATATATATATAAATGTATATAAAATATATGTTTACTTGTCGATAATGGAGATTCTAGAGAATATATATAATGTTTCTAAAGAATATATATATATAATATTCAATATTTTTGTATTTTTTTTTAGACATTATTAGTTCTTTAATAAAACTTGAATTAATTTTTTGTTTTATTTAACATATATTGAGAAATCAACAAATTCACTTCTATTAATATAATCTGGAAGATATTTTACCATGTACTAAAGCTAAATTTTATAAAAAATATTTTTAATATTTAATATTTAATATTTATTTAAACAGTAATAAGATATTGAAGTATTTTTTTTAATAAACTTTCAAAAACGATCCACGGTAGATTGCTATGATTTTTGGCAGAAATACTAGAAGTGATATTAAATGAATATCTTTAAATAGACTTTTATTGATAGAAATTGCTTAATGTTAAAAATAAATTTATATACTAGTTTAATTCAATATATATTATGCTAATTTTGATATATTCTCAATAGAATAAAAGAAAAATGAAAATAAATAAGAAGCTTATCCAAAACATTTTCACAGATAATAAGTGAATATATCTATTAAATCTATTAAGTCTTACTAAATGAATGAGTCTACAATATATTGAAAGTAGTGAAAAAAGATTGGCAAGATCCATATATAAAGTGGATCACAAGCATCGTAATTGTCGATAAACAATAAACATCAGGAATAGGAACATCTATTCAAATCTTCGAAAGGAATGATAAAATAAATTTAAATTTTTTAAATAAATTTAAAATAAATTATACATCTATAATTATATCTTTAATAAATTTAATAAATAAAGTCATTTTCTCTGAAAACAAAATCTTAAAACTTGCAAAAACTTTATTCTGCGCTTTTGATTTATTTTTTTCATAAAGAATCATCTTCTTCCCTGTTGTACCACAATTATGGGAATACTTTGTATAAAACAAATACAATTTTTTCTAGCCTTTTGAAACAAAACATTGTTCTCTCTCTCTCTCTCTCTCTCTCTTCTCTCTCTTCTTCTA